GGAACTGCAACCAGCTTGGTAGGTAAACAAAGCCTAACTAGTACATACGCCTAACAGCTAACTCTCAGCCAATCACAGGCTGCCAACCAACCAGCCCCTGCCCAAATAACACAGAGGCAGAGCCGTAACCAATCAAACTGTTTCTGCACCTGGCTTCCATTTCCTGGCTATAAATACTGCCTGCATACTTTGCAGAATTCACAGAACCTCTTCCGGTCCTCATGGCTTTCTGACTCAGGTATCCTTCTTTGCTCAGATTAATTCTTTTTTAACACTATTCTTACTTCCTAACTTATCTGATAACGTTTTTGCGGGTGCAGCCCTGTCCCATATAAACTGCTGAATCTCTCACACCTGGCATGCCACTGGGACAGGTGGTAGACTCGACATCCTTGCTCCACCTGCTGGTCACACACCTGAGTTCTACTTATGCTAAGTCTTCTTTTCCAAGTTCTCTGGAGCATCTTAGATTGTCAATATCTGTAGATGGAGCCATCCCACACATTGTCCTCTCATTTCCTTGAAAGTTTCTTCTCCATTCCCCTTCATCTTCACTCCATGGTGGTGACCAGCTCTCATGGGCACACCTTACACTTAGCTGCCACCCCTAACTCTTCTGCTGCCACCCCTAACTCTTCTGCTGTGGGCATCTTTTAGCCCACCCGTCACTGTTTTTATTTTTTTTTTCTTTTTTATTTTTCTTTTTATTTTTTTTGAGACAGAGCCTCAAGCTGTCCCCCTGGGTAGGGTGCCATGGCATCACGCTCACAGCAACCTCCAACTCCTGGGCTCAAGCGAGTCTCCTGCCTCAGCCTCCCAAGTAGCTGGGACCACAGGCGCCCACCACAACGCCCGGCTATTTTTTGGTTGCAGCCGTCATTGTTGTTTGGCGGGTCCGGGCTGGGGATTCGAACCCACCACCTTAGGTGTACGTGGCTGGCGCCTTAGCAGGTTGAGCTATAGGCGCCGAGCCCACCCGTCACTGTTACAGTTTGTCCTCCATTATAGTTTGGCTACCAGTTCCAAGAAGATGTTATTCTTTCCTGGTAATTTATTCATACATAAGATGTTATTTATTTTCAGAGCATTTCAACTTGTACCATATTTCTCAAAGTGTAGTCCAAGGATCAGTGGGAGTAAATTGATGATGGGTGGGGAAGGGTGGAGGGTCGTAAAACTTGTAATCTGAAAAAGAACACTGTGTGATTCTAAGGTACACGAAAGCTTGAGAACCACTAATTAAAGGATCCCAGACTTGCTCAGTTAAAACAGCTAGCCAGTAAACATTTACTGTTGTTTTTGTTCTCCCCCCCCAACTGAATACTCACAATTCTGGACAAAACATGGTTTATTTTATTTTACTCATTTGTTTCTTTTCCTTTTTTTTTTCTTTTGCAGTTTTTGGCCGGGGCTGGGCTTGAACCTGCCACCTCCGGCATGTGGGGCTGGCGCCCTACTACCTGAGCCACAGGCGCCGCCCCCATTTGTTTCTTTTTCTCTTTATTTTATTTATTTTGAGTTGGGTAGAGTGCTATGGTGTCCTAACTCACAGCAACTTTAAATTCCCGGGGTCAAGCAATCCTCTTGCCTCAGCCTTCTCAGTAGCTAGGACTACAGGCATGCACCACAATGCCCGGGTAATTTTTCTATTTTTAGTAGAGACAGGGTCTCATTCTTGTTCAGAAGGGACTCAGACCCCTGAGGTCAAGCAATCCACCTGCCTTGACCTCTCAAGAGTGCTAGGATTACAGGCAGGAGCCACTGAGCCTAGCCCTTTTTTTTTTTATTCTAGGGGGTACAAGATGAATTTCCATTACTAACACACACACACATAGTATAGCTGTGGAGTCTGGGCTTCTGGTGTATCCGTTACCCAAGTACTGTACGTTGTACTCTATAGTAACTTTTCATCCCTCATTCCTTCCCATCCTCCCTCACTATGAGTTTCCAGTGTCCCTTATACCACCTGATGGGCTCTTGTGTAGCCATAGTTTAGCTTCCACCTACAATTGAAACTATGTGGCATTTATTTTTCTGTTCAGGGAGGTTATGGGTGGCCACATTCCATCACGCTTTGCAGGCCACTGTAAAGACTAGAGTGTTTTCTCTGAGTACAATGGGAAACCATTGCAAAGTTTTAAGTAGAGGAGAGATGTAATTTAACATTTTTTAAAACATCTGCTCATCTGCGTCATGTAATATAGACAAGCAGTGGAGAAATCAAGAAGCTATTGCAGTAATGCAGGCGAGGCATGAGGGTGGTCTGGACCATGCTGGCAGATGTGGAAGTCATAGGATGAATATCTGTTTAACCTAAGTTGTGGCCTTCATTACAGCTTGCACTAAATGCATGGCTGATAAGCTTCTGAGTGGAGTTTTTGCACCTTGGGTTTCAGGGAATGATAGTTATGGAAAGGGGGTAGGGAAGGTCTGAGTTACCAAGGAGACAAAGAGTCACGCATGTAAAAATCTTAGAAGGTTCTAGGCCTCTAGTCCTCTGGCGCAGCAAAAATTCTGCAGCCAAGCCCACTAGCCGCTTCCCAGTGACCATGCGCAACAGGCAGGTGGGAGCCTATGGAAAGCACAGGACTTTCGGAGAGACCGATGAGCGCGTTCGCGGAATTGCAGTTCGGCGCCCTGCGCAGGCGCAGTGGTGGCCGCGGGCTTGCGCGCGCACTCGCTGCGGGACAAGCTTCTGGAAGCTCACTGCGGTGGTGCTGGTGCTGGCTGCGGATGCTGGTGCAGGTATCGGTTGTCTCAAGCCCCTAGTTTGGGGGCTTCGGCCGGGTGGCCGGCTCGGAGGGCTCACCTGTGGCCGGGAGGGCAGCCGAGAGACTTCCCTGTGCGCTGCGGATGCTGCTGCTTCTGTGGGAGGTGGGAGCCCAGCTGCGGGACTGAGACTAGGGCTTCCCCCGTCCCTCCCTGCGCCGGGGGTGAGCCGCTTCGGTGCCGTTGGCTTTTTGTGCGAAATAATGGGTAGTTTTGAGTTTTGTGTGTGTTTGGGCTGGGGGTGGGGGCGCTTTCGCAGCTACATTCCTGGTATCAGGTACCAGTAGCACCTCTTTTCCCCAGTGGTGGTAACCAAAAATGTCTCCAGACATTGCCAAGTGACCCCATGGGGGTGTGCAGGGACGAAATCTCTCCTCTTTTCTCCCTGCAGTCGAGAACCTCTGACTGCGTCACATTTTCACTGACCCTCTCAGTCACTGCGGAGCCACAGGTACCCAGCACGGCTCCAGGTACATGGTGGGCGCCTGATATTTGGGAGAGGAATAACCGATGTCTTATGTGTGCTGTGACGCCTAATATTTGGCGGGGGATTAAATGCTGTCGTGTGGGCTCTGTGCGGCAGGTTTTGTGCGCAGAGATGGGTAGTTACTGGTATGATTATGGCAACAGGAGGCGCGCATCTTCTCCCTCGCCACATTGTAATACCATCCCCGGCGGTATTGTTGTTTTCGGGACCCTCTGTGAGGCTGAGGACCCTTTCAGGGCTGTCCACCGCTGGCCCCTCGGTGCCGCATTCCCTGCGCCATTGTAGTTGTTCAGTCATTCGTAGGCTGAATGAATGCATGCTACACGGAGCAGTCTGTGCGCAAAGGAGTGCTTTCGGATCAAAGAAGGCGTCACACAAGAGGTGACAGTTGAAAGGAGTCAAGCTTTAAAGAATGAATGAAAGTTTGGAAAGAGAGATTAAGAAGGCAGCGTTTTGAGGAGAGGGAATAGCCCTGGTGCAAAGTGTGGGAGGTACAGAGTGTCTGGGAATGGAGAGCTATTTCTTTATGGATGCATTGTCCATCAGGGGATCAGAAGGGTTGCCGGAGCTTAAGAGGTGAGGTCATCCGCGCACTGTTTTTGAAGATCATTATGCATGGTCTCTGCGTTTGAACTTTATCCGAAGACAGTTGGCCAGTGAGGCGGACATAGGCAAGCGCGATAGGATCATATTTTGTAGATTTAGAAGGAATATTTTTGGCCACAGTGAAGAAGCCTGTACTAAGGTATTTGCTGTAGGATAGAATGGAGAGGTTTTTAGGAAATAAAGTCACCAGAACTTGGTCATTATGTGAGAAGAAAGGAAGACTAGAAATGTGAGAGTCAAATATGAAATCAGCTTTTCAAATATGAAATCAGCCTTTTGAGCTGAGATACTGGTGAGAAATGTGTGTCATTGAAAGGGGGCAGACAAGACCATGCTAAACAGGCTTGTAATGGGGAGTCCCCTTGTAACAGTGGGCCTTTTTTATTTTGTGTGTATGTGCGTCACCCCGGTGGAGTACTGTGACGTCATAGCTCACAGCAACCTCTAACGATGGGGCTCAGGCGATTCTCTTGCCTCAGCCTCCCAAGGAGATGAGACTATAGATGTGAGCCAGGCACTCAGCCCTCAGTAGGCCTTTTCTGATAATTTTTGCTTATGAGGAGTAGTACTGAGTTTGAAGCAACTGTTCCCTTGGGACAGTTATTTAATTAATAAATAAACTGTCTTTATTAACCTTTCATTAATCCCTCAGCTTTTGATTTATAAAGAAAATTGTTCTTAGGGCCAGGCACTGTAATCCTAGCTAGCGCTCTGGGAGGGTGGATTGCCTGAGCTCATGAGTTCGATGCCAACGTGAGCCAGAGCCAGACCTCATCTCTAAAAATAGCCCTGTGTCGTGTCATCCCAGCTACTTGGGAGGCTGAGGCAAGAGAATCGCTTGAGCCCAAGAGTTTGAGGTTGCTGTGAGCTATGACTCCACTGCACCCTACTGAGGGCGACAAAGTGAGACTCTGTCTCAAAAAAAAAAAAAAGAAAGAAAGAAAATTGTTCTTTTATGTAGTAGTTAAGTATGGCCTTCCTAGGCTTCTGAGGATATATGTATGGATCTATATATCTGAACCAAACCAATAGGGTTAACAACAATTGGTGTCACTTATTTAACATTTTATTATTTCTTTTTGACAGTTTCCGGAAGACTATCGAGTGAATTCCTGGAACCTTGACATTTTGCTGTGTATAGTGCCTGCTGGTGTACTGTACTGATATCCAGCTAGACTCTAAAGGGGTCTGGCTTCCTGTTCGTGATACAAAATGCAGGCTGTAGTGCCCTTGAACAAGATGACAGCCATCTCGTCAGACCCTCAAACTCTGGCCTCGGGTGAACAAGACGCAGTCCTAAGAATGGACACTTCTGAGAACCAAGAAGCTGTTTCAGGAGGAAACACTGTTGACCCAGAGTCTTTCAGACAGAGGTTCAGATGGTTTCGTTACTCAGAAGTAGCTGGGCCCAGGAAAGCCCTGAATCAACTCTGGGAGCTCTGCACTCAGTGGCTGAGACCAGACATTCACACCAAAGAACAGATGTTAGAGCTTTTGGTGTTTGAGCAATTCCTCACCAGTTTGCCTGGGGAGACCAGAATGTGGGTCAAGTCACAACACCCTGAGAGTAGTGAGGAGGTGGTGACCTTAGTAGAGAATTTGACCCAGATGGTTGAAGAAAAAGGTGAGATTTAAGATGGAGGGAGGAGGTGGGAGAAATCCCCTTAGGGTTTGAAAGTAAACCCAAAAGAGAGCAATTTACTGCTAAGTCTAACTAAGTTTTGGAGTTGGGACTGGGTTTGAATTGACCTTGCTGTTCACTGTGTGATTTGGGGCAAGTTAGGTAGCCTCTCAGAATTTTTTTTTTTTTTTGAGACAGAGCCTCAAGCTATCCCCTGGGGTAGAGTGCTATGGCTTCACAGCTCACAGCAACCTCTAACTCCTGGGCTCAAGCGAGTCTTCTGCCTCAGCCTCCCAAGTAGCTGGGACCACAGGCGCCCCCCACAATGCCCGGCTTTTTTTTTCTTTGGGTTGCAGCCGTCATTGTTGTTTGGTGGGTCCGGGCTGCATTCAAACCCTCCACCTTAGGTGTATGTAGCTGTCGCCTTAGCCACTTGAGCCACAGGTGCCAAGCCGCCTCTCAGAATTTAAATATTTCCAGATGGAAATACCATCTTTTCTGTAGTTTTCTTATAAAGGTTAAATAAGGTATAATATGTGGTGGATGCTCAAGAAATATTAATTTTTTTTCCTTCCCCTTGAAGAACACAGGAGAGAAAGAAGTTATTTTGCCAAAGTGTTTGGAGTCACAAGCATCTCAATAAGTCTAGGCCTCAGCTTCTAGCTCCAGTGTATGTACCAATAAATTGCTGGGACAGGACCATCCAGTGTATTTGTTATGGAAATGTATTTTGCACTGTTTTGCAATTCAAGTTAAGCACATGAAAGATGGCTAGTACAGATGAGGAACTGGTTAACATCTACCCTGTTTTTATAGTGCAACTCCAGTCTTAGGGGAAGAACAACTGAGTTATACAAGGTGGCCATAAAGTTCATGTGTATTTTTTAAATTTTAAGTTGCACATGAACTTTATAACCACCCTGTATTTTTTTCTTTTTTCTTTTCTTTTTTTTTTTTTTTTTTTTTGAGACAGTCTTACTGTGTTGCCCTTGGTTGAGTACTTTGGCATCACAGCTCACAGCAACCTCAAACTCTTTGGGCTTAAGTGATTCCCCTACCTCAGCCCCCAAGTAGCTCGAACTACAAGTACCCCCCACAATGCCTGGCTATTTTTAGAAACGAGGTCTCTCTTTGGCTCAGGCTGATCTCAAACCTGTGAGTTCAGGCAATCCACCTGCTTGGGCCTCCCAACTGCTGGGATTACAGGCATGAGCCAGTGCCCCGGGCCAAATTTTTTTTTTTTTGAGACAGTCTCATTTTGTTGCCCTGGGCTGTGGTGTCACAGCTCACAGCAACCGCCAGCTCCTGGGCTTAGGGATTCTCTTGCCTCAGCCTCTGGAGTAGCTGGGACTACAGGTGCCCACCACAACGGCCAGTCTATTTTTTGTTACAATTTGGCTGGGGCGGGCACCCTACACACTGAGCCACAGAGATGCCCCCCCTTGTGTGGAGACCTTTTTAATAAAGAATTGATATCTAGCATTCTGTAAGGTAGAGTTTCCTTCATCTCTTTTTTCTATTTGATGACATAATTCTAATTCTTAATTTTTGTTTGCCTGTCTAAGCAATAAAGCTGTCTAAAATTCTTTTTACTGGAAAATAATACATGATTTGAAAAATAGTTTTCCCTTATTTGAAAAAGAGCTGGTGACATCTGAGGGTATTTAATACATTTAGTGCATGTGAGTTCAGGTGCTGCTTTTTGTCTTAGGAATCTGTGGGTGATCCCAGAGGTAGAATCTGTTCTTGAGACCAGCTTTGTGCTTTAATTCAGTACATACTTTGGAGTGACGTGAGGCTAGGAAGAATGAAGAAAACAAATTAATAGATAAAAGGAATACGCTGTTTTACTTTGCATCTTTTAAATTAGAAATATTTCAAAGCTCACTGTGCAAATTAGTTTAAAACTGGCTATGTGGAATGAAAAAAAAATTAGTTTTTGTGAACTTAGGAATTGAAAGGATTTTTATTTGCAGTAAGGTAAAAAGCCTGGATTTTCTTAAGAAACTGTCTGGCTTTTCTGTTTTAAAGAACGGAGAAACTTTTTGTTTCTTTTGACCTTTTTATCCAGATGGGCTCACTGTTCTTTTAACCCATGTAATTTCCTAGATGACTAGAGCTGTAAGAGTATCTTTTGTTAAAATATTTGGCCTTTTGTCCTGGGTTCCTGAAACAGCTTCCAAATAGCTCTAAGAGCTGTAAAGGAGGAAGGCAGTCTTTTTGTTATTTATAACAAGTGCCTTTTAACCATACTGGAATTTATGTTAATGAGGTGAGTTTTTGGACTATGCCTAGTTAACTGTTGGTTGGGGTGACTGGTTGCCAGGGGAACCAACCTGGTGTTTTGAGGGTTGGAACTCAGCCCCACCCCCCACCCTCTGCCTAGGAGAGAGGGACTGAAGGTTGAATTGATCAAAAGTGGCCAGTGATCTAATCAATCTTACTTATGTATGCAGCTTCGGTAAAAACCCCAAAGGGCATTGTTGGTGAGAGTGTCGAGGTACCTGAACACTAGAGGTGTTCAGGTCGAGGTTCCAGGGATTGATATGCCTGGAACAAGCATGAAAGCCAGCCCCTTGCGTCTTCCCAAATGCCTTGCCCTATGTATGAGTCTGTCACCCTAAATAATCAAAAGTCTTGGGATCTAGTGAGAAGAATTTATTCAACCAGGGACATACCTACCTACACCAAAGAATTGTGATGAGTGCTCCCAATGTGGGGGAAAGCAAAGATGGTTTATATAGGTAAAAGGGCTGAACAGAATTACATTTTCTTTTCTTTTTTTTGAGACAAAGCTGTCACCCTGGGTAGAGTGCTATGGCCACAGCAACCTCAAACTCTTAGGCTCATTCTCTTGCCTCATCCTCCCAAGTAGCTGGGACTACAGGCACCCGACGTAATGCCCGGCTCGTTTTTTTGTTTTTGTTGTTGTAGTTGTCATTGTTTTAGCTGGCCTGGGCCAGATTCGAACCCATCACCCTTGGCATATGTGGCCGGTGCCCTATCCACTGAGCTACAGGCACTGCCAGGGGTTTCTCACTTTTTTGCTCAGGCTGGTCTCAAATTCGTGAACTCAAGCTATCCACCTGCCTTGGCCTCCCAGAGTGCCAGGATTACAGACCTTAGCCACCAAGCTGGCCAGAATTAGATTTTCTATACAGAAGCTTTAACTTGCAGGTATAAGATATAATTGGTTACTATTGATTACATTCTAAGTGGGTTGCTTAACTTTTTTTTTTTTTTTGCAGTTTTTGGCAGGGGCTGGGTTTGAACCCAACACCTCCAGTTGCTTAACATTTTATTGTAAAGAGGTAACAATCACAAGGGTCTCTGTCTCCAACTTTAGTCTAGATTTGAATGAAGAACAGAGAATCTGGTTAATGTATAGCATCTGAACACAGAAGTCAGGAAGCAGGATGCACAAGAAAGATACCCTGGTATGTGAGTCAGTTTCCAGGGTTTAACTTTCTTCCTTGGCATAATAAATTTGGAAGATCCTGAAATTTTATTTTCTTTTTACACATCTCTTCCATTTGGCCTTTCATCTGTATCCTTTGTAATATCCTTTATAATAAACCAATAAATGTAGGTAAAGTGTTCGAGTTTTGTGAGCCACACTAGCAATTTATTGTAACTTAGGGAGTTGTGGGAACCCCTATTTGTAGTTGGTTGGGCAGAAGTTCGGGAGGTCTAGACTTGAGAGTGGCATCTGAAGTGAGGGGCAATCTTCAAGGGACTGAGCCCTTCCGCCTGTGGGATCTGATGCTTGTCTCCCAGTCGATAGTTATAGAAATGAGTTAAAGTACAAGACACCTAGCTGTCTGCTGGAGATCTGCTGCAGAACTATTTGCTTGCTATGGGGTGACACATCTGGGATCACAGAAGCAGTCATTGTATTAAGAGTATAGTAGGAGAAACTGACTTTTTCTTGTGTATCTCAAAATAGATGTATGTAAGGATTTTTAGCTTGAGGAATTCATTTGAAGGACTGGACTGTTTTTCCCCCTTTCTTTCTAGATCCAGTCTCTCAAGATTCTGCCCTCTCCCAGGAAGAGAACTCAGAAGAAGATAAAATGGTTGCTGTTCCTCCAGATACTGAGGCCTGTGTGAGTTTCCTTCCACTGGTTGCCACTCATAAGTGAATACTTAACTGAGTGCCTACTGAGTGGTATAAAGATAGAAAAAGAATTAAGACCGTCTCCATTTCAAAGAATTTACACCTCATTTTGCCCGTGCAATTTTATTTCAGTTTGCAGACCGTTTCACAAGTCTGACTCTTTTTTTTTTTAAAGATTTGTTTATTTATTATTTATTCATTTATTTTTTGAGACAGGAGCCACAAGCTGTCCCCATGGGTAGAGTGCTGTTGCATCACAACTCACAGCAACCTCCAACTCCTGGGCTCAGGCGAGTCTTCTGCCTCAGCCTCCCGAGTAGCTGGGACCACAGGTGCCTATCATAACACCCAGCTATTTTTTGGTTGCAGCGGTTGTTGTTTGGCGGCCCCGGGCTTGATTCAAACCCGCTCCCTTGGGTATACATGGCTGGCACCTTGGCCACTTGAGCCACAGGTGCCAAGCCACAAGTCTGACTCTAATTAAAAACATTTCGGCTTGGTGCCTGTGGCTCAAGCGGCTAAGGCGCCAGCCACATACACCTAAGGTGGCGGGTTCGAATCCCCAGCCCGGCCC